CGGCTGGGTGGTTCGAGTGCTCCGTGTTTTCCACTGTCCCATAGAAGTCCCTTCCCACCAAGCTCCTTGCAACTTATACCGATACATTATATTCCAGTATCACCTATATATGCACTTAGTAGCTATATCGGAGCGGCTAAGAAAGCCCCGCTTTGGGGGAGAAAATGGCTTTTTCAGGTACTTCGGTTGTCCTGCTTTTCACTCGTGACAATCATTATTCCTTTGCATCGTGGCCAGGGAAGGACAGGGACGAAGGGTCTTCCCGTATCCCGCCGTAATCCTAAATATATTATGTTTGTGTATCTGGCTATATCTATATCCATATATACAGGGGGGTCTGCGGAAGGGGGTGAATTTTGGCTGCCCGTTTATCATAGCGAGCCCTGTGGATGCTCCGGATTAAGCTTGGGCTCGGGCTTGGCAGCGTTGGAGAACGGGAGCCGGAGGGACGCGGCGTTTCGGGGAACGCCCCGCGCGGGTTTTTAATCCTCCTCTTAAATCCGGGTGTTTTCTGCAGAGCAAAGGTGGAGATTCCGGGTGCGTCGGGAGAGGGGGAAAAAGGAGGAGGAAAACTAGCCTGGGGTAAGGCAAACCCAGTATTGATCCGGAGCAAGCGAGGAGAGGCTGATTTCAGCCTTCCCAGCTGCCGGAATTGGATCGAGGACGTGGTGGGAATCGCTGGCGCCGCCTGACTTGGCCGCACGCTCCCGCTGCAGGTGCATCCCGGCTCCGGACAAGGCCTGGGATTGGGAAAGCAGGGCTTAGCAGCCACATTTTGGGAATTAACAGCGTGGAAAACGCCGTTTCGGAGCACTTTGTGAACTGCTTCCTTGTGCCGTCCTGGAGGACGCGATCCCGACCGGCACCGAGATCCCGTTCACGCTTTGCCAATGGGAAGACATTTCCTAAGGAAATCTCCCCTTTTCCGGAGGGCTCCATCTGGGGCATTCCCGGCTTCTTGCTGCTGCCCAGGGATCCTTGGCGTGTCCGGCGCTGCCGGCTCCGTGCCCATCTCACTCTGTGACCTCTTTCGTATAATTCCCTGGCAGGTGATAATTCCCAACGGGAATTGGTAATTCCCAAGTTGCTGCCAGGGCGGCAGCTCTGCTCGGGATGGGCGCTCATGGGCTTCAAACTTAAGCGCTCGCCAGGTTTCAAACTTAAGTCCTCACTCGGTTTCTTCACCGCGCACATCCGCCGGGATCTCCGGAGCCCACGTGGATCCCCTGGATCTCCGGGAGCCCACACGGATCCCCTGGAAGTGGCTTTCGGCTCCGGCAGGTGGTTTTCCCAGTGCTTCCCGACCCCCCCAGTGCTATTAACCCCCACGGAGCTCTCCAGTAAGTAAATGAGACTTTGCCCTTTGCCTCCTGCTCCCGGCCTGTGTTTGCCCCGGCTCCCAAACCGGAGCGGAAACGCAGGAGTAAATCCCACATTTCCAGCGCCGTGAGTTTTCCATGCGGCCCCTTCCCGGCGTCGGATAAACCCACGAGCCTGTCCCTGGGGTTGCTGGCTGTGTCTTTTCCCTGATTTTTCCTGGGAACAGAGTCCATCTCGTGCATTAAGGGGAGTGATTGCAGGTGACAACGCGCAGCGGTCACCCGAGGTCCGCATTAAGAGAGAAATCCCCCGGTGACACTTAGCCCTTATTATAGATCCTCGTAAACGAAAGACACAACAAAAAAATAACATTTTGCCATGTTCAGTTTGCTATTTTTTATATATATATATATATATATTTTTTTTTTTTTGGGGGTGTGTGTGTGTGTGTTAGCACAGGAGAAACAGTCTCGCTCCCCATCCCTTCAGCTCCATGACTCTAAATGGAGAAAAATGTTTGTTCCAAGGGAAGCTGGGGATGGAAAGCCAGATTTAGGGAACACGACTCAGGTATAGGCTCCTGCCTGCACTAGCCTCATTTTCTGGGGAAATTTGGCCGGCTTTCAAGCTTCCATTTAAGTAAAATGTTTGGATTTTCCCCCTTTTTTTTTTCTACTGGGGCTGTAGCCCTCCCTCCTGGTGCTGCTTTTTTGGGGAAGGAACAGGGTTATCTATTAATTCTCCTGCTTTTCCTCCCCAGGCACCGCTGCCCAGGTGAATTTGTTGTGCTCGGAAGCAGGGACAAATTGGGGGATCCAAAGCCCCGTGCTCGGCTGTGGACCCCCTCGCTGTAACTTAGCACTGCTCTTCCTTGTGGATAATCATAGCATTTTGGAGTCATTTGCCCTGGTTTTTAGTCTCTAGCCGGTTGCATTGGAGACCGGCGAAACCCGGCGCCTGCTGCCACTTCAGACCTCCAACAAATTTTATGGAATTTGCTTTTTTATTTTGCGCCAATGGACTCAACCCCGCGGGGCTGCAGGTGCCTTTGGGCCGGACCGTGGGTCTCCCCTCGTTGGATTTTGCTGCAGCTTGAGGATTTCCCCCCCGGATCGTTCCCGATTTAATTCCACCTCCTTCCCACATGGCTTAGCCCTGATTTTTGTGAATTAAATCAGTTCTCGGGGGTGTCTCTCGTAGATGGGAATCCAGAGCCGCTACGGCCGCCGGCGTCGTTGCTGCTGTCCCTGCTCCGCTCCGACCCGCCGGATTCCTCCTCTCCAATGCCCAGCTCCAAGAGTTGGGTTGCGCATTTGCTCCCCTTTCCCCAAATTCCCCAATTCCCAAAGAAATTTCATTGCAGCGCCCTGGGCACGGCCCCTGGGCCGCCTTGGTGCCTCAGCTCCCAGCAAGACCGGATTCAGACAGGAATCGGGCTTTTCCAGACCAAAATTGGGCTTTTTAAGGCCAGATTTGGTCTTTTTAAGACCAGATTCAGGCTTTTTAAGACCAGAATTGGGCTTTTTAAGCTCTCTTGCCGGTGCTCAGCTCTGGAGAGCTTCCAGCCTCCAGATTTTTATCTCTTTAAAAGAAGCCAACGTTTTTGTCCCGCAGCATTTGTCATGCGGCGCCTCGGGGCCCTCCGGCTTTTCGAGCCTAAGCAAAGCCTGGAGGACAGAGGAGAAGTACCAGAGGTGCTGAAAATGAGGAGAAAAAGGCACTTTTTTCCTCTTTTCCTAAGGGCTGGTTGTGTGTTGGGGGGACATGTGCAACTTGATGCGCAACCGCCGTCGAGCAGATGGAGCCGTCATCGCCCTGCTACGTTTCCCTCTGTTTTAGGGACCCCCTGCGTTGGGTTTTGGGTGCACGTGGAGTCGCTGCAGACCCGGGGTGGGTTTGGGGGCCGTTTTGAGGAGCAACCGGCCCTTGGAGACCACCTGAGATACTGTCTGCAGGCTGAGACTGCTTCTCGTCCCCATAATTTATAGAATTTATAACCAATTAATTTATTGGGTGCCCCGGAGAGGCATCCGGGTGGCAGGACTGCCCCATAGGTTGCTCCTCGTTCTTGGGTGACAATTGTTGGAATTGTTGGGGAAATGGGTGCGGATGGGCCCTTGTCTAGGGGGAATCCTTTCCCGCGTCGCCCTTGTCCTGGATGGAAAGCCTTAAGGAGGGAAATTCCTTGGAAAAGGGGGCCTCTCCTTGGCCGTGCTCCTTCCCGCTCCATTTTGACACCTTCTCTTTGTGTTTTCTTTTGCATGGCTTCTCGGCTGGATTGCAATAGAGAAGAAGAAAACGAGGTGAGTGAAAACCAGCCCTCTTTTATTCCCTGTTGAGCAGCGCTTTGGCCCAGCTTGCTTATTCAGAGCTACGGGTTTTCTTGGATATTTGCAATTCCCACATGGCAGCAAAGGTAACGGGCCAAGAGAAAACCCAAGAGACGGAAATTATTGGAACTTCCCAGCGTGGCAATGGTTTCTGCTGGTGATCTGTGCTGCTCTAGGACCGTAGTCTGCATTGGGTGTCATGGTCCATGGACAACCTCTGTTCATGGCAAACGGGGAGCTGCAGGAGGGACGTCCTGCTTGGAGCAGGAACCCTCCTCCAAGGGGTTTGGAACCCTTGGAGCTCCAGGAATTTGGTATTTTTCAGGGAAAAAATCCCTGGGTGAACATACAGGGGGGAAATATTTCCTATGCAGCACATAAAAAGCCCCCAAATCCTACGGTTGGATCCATAGGAGCTTCTGTCTGCCCTTCATGCATGTGTTTTGCACATGGGGGGATGTATCCAAGCTCCCCAAAAGCTTTCATGGAAGTTTTTGGGAAAGCTTTTCCTACTGATGCTCTGTATTTTCATATTTATGTGTCGGTTGTGTAGGTGCTACAGTGGGGAAATGCAAATTTGGAGTCAGATGCACTTTTGTGTTGCAGTTTGGGTTGGACATCTGGATATTTGGGACAGTAGAAACCTGAGCTCTTGCTGCTACAGGGTCCCAAGAACTACATGTAAATTGAGGGGGAAACGGGTTTTTTTTGCCCGCAGTGCTTCAGACCCTTGTGCATTAGTTAAGGTTTAAAAAATGATACGCGGATCCTATTGAAAACAGGTACAGTATTTCCCAGAGGAACAGGAGTGCAGGGAAGGCGGTTTTGCAGCATTTGGCCACACGCTTTTTGCAAGGTCCCTCTTTGTGCCGTGCATGCCCTTTCAGAAATACCTAAAAGGAGCCAGATTTTCTTTTTCCTCCCCCAAAATGCAGTTAACCCCCATTCCTGATGATGGGAAGTGCGTGTGATACCGGGCTGATTGGCCAGGATTCGGTCACATGCAGCCCGGGACGTGTTACTCTTCAAAATTTAATAAACCCAGGCATTTTACCAAAGGAAAGAAAGCAAAATCTTATATAAGTGGCATCTGAGGGTGCAAATAAGATGGGATGGGGTTTTCATCCCCCCCAAACGACTTATTTAATAATTTACCACCAAGCCTTCAGCCTTAGCAGCTCCGCATTGTTTCAGCGAAGTTAAAGGATAACAAAGTGCCCGATAATTCACAGTGGGCTGCAGGAAGCCGCTCGTGCTGCCAAGGATGTCTTCATGCAGTAGTTATGAGCCCAAAGCTCTGCTCTATACGGTTTGTAGACCGCGCAGCTCCTCTCGTCCAGAGCGTGCTCCATGGACAAAGTGCAATTAGAGCTAATGCAGGTAGGATTGGGAATATTGCCAGAAACACCTTTTTTGCAGGTGTTTGTCCTTGCCAATGGCTTGCTCTGCTGGTGTGGATAGCGAGGAAGCTTTTGCAAAGACAAATCTTCAGTTTTCAACCAACGGGACAAGCGCCACGACAAGTAAATATCCTGTGCTCTGGAAGTGGCTGATCTCAGGCTTTCTAAGCACATTCCATAAGGGAAGAGGTTCTTTCCTTGATAACCCTGGTGCCCTCAACCTGCTCCGTGTCCACACGAGGGCATCTCGGTGTCAGGGGGGATGTTTTGTCACTTGGGACCACAGAAACCCGATGGGGGAAAGCGGCGCTGCGGCCTCAGTTAACTTCATAGGTTGAATCCCATCTTTTTTTGTAAGAAAGAAAGAAACCTGAGAAGGTTTGGTTGAGTCACCAACAAGGGAGGAAAGGGCCGAAATCCCAAGGGAAGTTTCGCTCAGGGCTCCAAACGATCATCCCATTGAATTGGGTCCTAGCAGAGACAGGCGCAGAAGGTCACTGGGCTCCCCCTTGAGCCACCGATACCAATTTCTAGCTTATTGGCATGAAAAATTCCGAGGAAAAGAAAGATTATCCAATGTTTCTGCAGGGGAGGGTTTTAAAAAGCAATCTGCTCGTTCCCCTAACGGCCCCTGCTCCTTTTTCGTTGCAGAGCAAGACGGAAACCGTGCCGAAGGCTGGCTTCATCAAAGGGCCGCTCTTCAAAGGGGTTGCTTCGAGCCGCTTTCTGCCCAAAGGCACCAAAACGAAGGTTAACCTCGAGGAGCAGGGAAGACAGAAGGTGTCCTTCAGCTTCAGCTTAACCAAGAAAACCTTGCCCAATAGGTTTCTGACCGCTCTCGGAAACGAGAAGCAAAATGACACGCCGCCCTCGCCGGCAGCCCCGCTTCAAGCTGACTTTAACCCCAAAATCAGAATGGACCTGGGGGACGCTCCTGGTGCTCCTGAAGAGTCTTCGCCTCCGAAGCCAAAGGTAGAGCTGGGGAAGATCCATTTCAAGAAGCATTTGCTTAACGTCACGGCGAAACCGGTGGCCGCGCTGCCGCCACCGCCGGCCGTGGCGCCGGTGACGGAACCGGTGGCCGCGGAATTCCCGTCAACGCCGCCGCCGCCGCCTGTGCCGACGGTGTCACCACCAGCATCCGCGCCCGTTCCTGCCGCGACAGCCTTGTCCCCGCTGCCCGTGACGTTGTTGTCGACGCTGTTGCTGTCGCCGCCTGCGGAGGCCGAGGTCCCCGCTTCCAAGGAGCCGTGTCGCGCGGTCCCGAAGGAAGCTTCGGATGTGGACGTTAGGCAGGACGCTGTGTTGCACAGTTCCGAGGAACATTTAGCTCAAAACGCGCTCGTGCAGGCGGAAATAACCCCCCCGAAGGAAGATTCCCATATTGGGAGAGAGGATGAAGTTTCGGACAGCTCCAAGGGTGCTTCCCTGTGCTCTAGGAAACAGGCTTCGAAGAGGAAGTTCTCCCAGTCCGACGGCCCCGTCCCCGGCTCTGAATCCGACGAGGATTCTGTGAGGACTTCCTCCAGCCAGCGGTCGCACGAGCCGAAGATATCGAGCACGGAAAAGGAGCGAGATTCCAGAAGAAGCTCCACTTCTCTCAGGGGCGAAGAGCTGGGCAAGTCCTCCTCGCGATCCAAGTCGGAGCGGGATGAAAAATACTCGGGTTACTCCAAATCGGAGCGAGACTCGCGGTATGGGTCGTCCCGCTCCAGGTCGGACAGGGAGAGGAGACGGAGCCGCTCGCGCTCGCGCTCCCGCTCCGAGCGGAGCTCCCGCACCAGCTCTTCCTATTCGAGGTCGGAGCGCTCGCACTACTACGAATCCGAGCGGCGCTACCATCGGAGCTCGCCGTACAGGGAGAGGACGAGGTACTCGCGCTCGTACGCGGAGAGCCGGGCGCGGGAGAGCTCGGATTCCGAGGAGGAGTACAGGAGGACGCATTCCAGGGCGGGCGACGCGAGGCGCACGTCCTCCCACTCCTCCTCCTACCGCGACTCGAGGACGTCCTACTCCAAGTCGGACCGGGACGGCAAAACGGAGTCGTCCCACGAGGCGGAGAGGAGAGGGAAGTCTTCTTCCAAAGCAGACAGGGATCCCAAAAGGACTTCGGAAAGCGAAGCCCCCAAAAGGTGCTCTCCCCTTAGCGACTTAGGCTACCGAAAGGGGACATCCCATTCTAAACCTGACAGTAATGTGAATTCCTCCCGCTATAAGTCCACCCCTTCAAAGACCCCAGCGCCAAAGCCTGAAAAATTGAAAAGCTCTTTCTGTTGTGCAGAATCGAATGAAGAACTAAAGCAGCAGTCTAATTCTCTAGATTTAGAGGCCTCTTGCCTACGGAGCGGCGAGGCGAGACCGGCCCTTGCAAAAAAGTTGGAAAGGGAAAAGACACTTTCTCCGGTGAGGCAATTAAACGAGTCGCCCGCTTTTAGAAAGGCAGATGAGCCAAAAGATGGGTTTTCTAACGCCAAATCTGGCGACCTCATAGGAAACGAATGCCATGCCAGTGTTAAGGAACAGGAGACGCTGATAAAGCAGGACCCGTTAAGAACTTACTTGCCCGTGGACCTCGATATAAACGGGTCCCCTGAAGGTAGGTGTGAGGACTCGGCGACGTGCGGCGCCTCCAAAGCGGAGGCCGCTGCGGCCTCTTCCGAGCCGTGCCGGTGGGAAGCGGCCGCCGCGGGGAACAGCGGGGCTTTGTGTGCGTTGCCCTCCAACGGCTCCGAGAGCCCGGCTGCAGCCGGGGAGCAGGAGCGGGGCCGGTCCCACGTGGAGTCCAGCGAGTGCAGCAGCCTCTGGAAAGCGGCGGAGGCTCCCGGCGCGGAGCAGAGAGGGGAGGCCGCGCCGTTGCCCCTCGGGAATGGGGATCGATGCCCAGCTTGGCTTAGGAAGCCGGATGAGGAGGCGCCTCCGCGCGACGCAACCAAAGAAGCCGTTTTTTGCTACGTTTCGGAGGCTGCCGCCCCTCCCTTGTGTCACTCGGAGGTCGAAATTGAAGTGGAGGCGGCGGATGTCAGAGTCACCTCGGAGGCTTTTCTGGACGTTCCCGTGGAGCCGCAAACGGTGACGTGCGGTTACGAGAGCACGGAGGAGCAGAATTCCAAGGCAGCCTGCGGAGACGAGCGGGATGCTGTGGATCCTTCCCATCGCCTTAGCTTGGCAGTGGATAGCTCAAGCAGAGATTCCTCCCAGGACGGGTGTTCCCTGAGGGTGAAATCGGACAATCCCGGCGTTCCGCAGCAGCCGGACGAAGGGGTCGCTTCCAAGTGGGATCGGGCCCCGCCGGATCAAGGCGAGAAGCTGCTGCAGCTTTCCGAAGGCGAAGAGGTGCAGGAGTTGGGTAGCCAGCACGTTGAGTTTCATTCGGCGAGAGCAAAGCCCTCATTCCAAGATGAGCACTCGTATTATTCCGAAGTGCCCCTGGAACACCGGAGCAGGCAGAGAGCAGCAGCAGAAGGTGCCGTTTCTACCGGAGGAGCGGGCTCGGATGAGCAGCGTCTCGGCATATTCCTGGAGAGGGACGAAGGGAATGAGTCCGTGGTGGCCTCGGCTTTTTCGGGAGCTTTGTATCCGTCTTGCGACCTCGTGGTCACGGCGGAAGAAACGGTCGCTCAAGCGGCGACGTGCGACAGCAGCGGCAACGCTTCCGAGGGCGTCTCCGCCGGCCACGACGGCTGTTCGGACACGGCCGAGAGCGAGAGCGAGGCCGGCAGCGAGGAGAGCGATTCGGAAGACTCGGATTCTGATGACGCCGTGCCACGGAAACGGCTCCAGTCCATCGTGGTGGTGCCCAAAAACTCCACCATAGCCACGGAGGAGAGCAGCCCCTGCTCGTCTCGGGGCGGCCAGGGGCTTAGGCGCTACTCGGACCACTGGGACGACGAGCGGCCCGAGTCCAGCCGGCCGTACTACGAGGAGAGGTCGGAGAACGCGGCGAGTAAGAACGGGCCGCAAGCGGAGAGCAGATGTTCTCCTCGCGGGACGGACAAGAGCCCCGCGACATCCACGGAGCTGAGCAGGAAGGAAGCGGAGGAGCTGCGCGTGGACGCGTCCCAGCCGCAGAGCGACGGTGTCGACAGCACCAGCCAGGCAGACCTGGCGGCGGATTCCAACGGAAAAGGCGACGCGGAGCAGAGGATGATCCTAAAGGAGCTGGTGGGCCGGCAGGAAGAGCAGACCTTTTGTCTGCCCGAGAGCTTCGAAGGTCCCGACAAACCTCAGACCCAAACGAGTTCTTCCAAACCGGACAGTAGGCAAGGGAAGGGGGGGCTTAATCAGTTGGGAACCGGAGACTTCTCCAGGGTGGACGGTTTTCATGCGGCGGAGGATTTGGGTGGTTTCGGCTGGGACTTTTCCCAGCCGGAGAAGCCCAGTAGCACCTACCAGCAGCCCGACAGCAGCTTGGGGGTCTACCCGGGTTACGTTCTCCAGCCCGGGGCGGGAGCCTACGGCGCCTCGCAGAGCTACTGGCAGGGCAATGGATATTGGGATGCCAGATCCGCGAGCCGGCCTTCTGGGATGAGCTATGAGCGAGCTCAAGGGCAAGTCCCGGATTCCTTGACGGAGGATCACGAGGAGGACGAGGACGACCGCTGGGATGACGACTGCAAGGCTCGTTTCCCCAGCCCGTCGGGCACATTCCATGGCCCCGCGGAGCGGGAACAAGGTTCCGTGCAGGCACATGAGATCAGCAGTAATTCCACCAAGGAGGCCGGCGCCGTCGGTGAGAAGAAGGAGGAGGTGAAGGCCTTGGAGAAGAACGACCTGAAGGAACGAGGGCCACCCAAAAAGAGGCGCCAGGAGGTGGAGAGCGACTCCGAGAGCGATGGAGAGGCACGGGAGAGGAAGAAGGTAAAATCAGAGGGGGAGCAAGTGGATTCTTCGCCGCAGGACTCCTCCATGGTTGGCCGGTTGTGTATCATGGAAGACTTCAGAGACCCGCAGCGCTGGAAGGAGTTTGCCAAGCAAGGGAAAATGCCCTGCTACTTCGACCTGATTGAGGAAAACGTGTACTTGACAGAAAGGTAACTCATTTATTTATTGTTTTTTTTTTTTTTTTTTAACTATTTTTTTTCACCCCTAGCTTTTCTAGATTCCAGCTTATATATATTTTTATTTAGTTTTCTTCCAAATGGGCAGTTAGTAGAGCAGTGAGAGTGGGTAGGGAAGATTCTTCGCCGCAGGACTCCTCCATGGTTGGCCGGTTGTGTATCATGGAAGACTTCAGAGACCCGCAGCGCTGGAAGGAGTTTGCCAAGCAAGG